GCTATCCCCCTCACAAACAACAAAAGGAATTACTATGCTAATTTTGTTAGGCAGGAAAGCCAATCACATCACTCTCCATTGCTTCCTTTCTGTTTAGTTCTGCCTGCAGGGAGGTTTGAATGATCACTTGCTTTACGGTGGCTGATGTAGCCCCTGCCGTCCCCCAGTTCACTTTCTCAGATTTTGTATGAACACAGTTGAACTTAGTGTGACCTTAAGTCAGTAGACCCACCCCCGTTTTCATTTATGTATGTGTGTGTGTACCACACAGCACATACAGAACTTAGAGGACAGCTTGTACACACTGCAGACGTCTTTTGGATGTGAGAGAGAATAGGGATTGCATGAAGGTTTTCCCGCTTGGAGGCAAGCAGTTTACCCACCGAAGGCTCTCTGGAGGTTTTTTGTTTGTTTGTTTGTTTTGTTTTTTCGAGACTGGGTTTCTCTGTGTAGCCCTGGCTGTCCTGGAACTCACTCTGTAGACCAGGCTAGCCTCGAACTCTCGAACTCAGAAATCTGCCTGCCTCTGCCTCCCAAGTGCTGGGATTAAAGGCGTGCGCCACCACCACCACCCGGCTTCTGGAGTTGTTTTGAAAGTGAGAACTTTGGGCTGGAGAGATGGCTCAGCAGTTAAGAGCACTGACTATTCTTCCAGAAGTCCTGAGTTCAATTCCTGGTAACTACATGGTGACTCACAACCATCTGTAATGGGATCTGATGCCCTCTTCTGGTGTGTCTGAAGACAGTGACAGTATTCACATATATACAATAAATAAATCTTTAAAAAAGAAAAGAAAGTGAGAACTTCTGTCTAACCACTCCTAATTATTCGTATTTGATGGACAAGCTGTGGTGTGCTTGGCTGGATATTGGTGTCATTCATTTTGCCTTTAACAGGTGGACTTCTAGTTGTAGGTGAAATACTGAAATACTCGTTACTGAAATGATATACTCGATTCCTATCCCTTGGCAACCTTTATTCTTGTTAAATTCTCTCAGTTTTTAGTATCTGACCATAAAATATGCCATATTATTGCTGAGTCATACTGACTTTTTTTTTTCTCGAGACAAGGTTTCTCTGTATAGCCCTGGCTGTCCTGGAACTCACTCTGTAGACCAGGCTGGCCTCGAACTCAGAAATCCGCCTGCCTCTGCCTCCCAAGTGCTGGGATTAAAGGCGTGCGCCACCACCGCCCGGCTAGTACTGGCTTTTAAGTGACTTGAACTGTTGTGGAGTTTTCATTGTGCCCTTTGTATCCTTGTACTCTTAACAAAAAAGTAGTGAATGTTTGTGTCTATGTGTGTATATGGGTGTGCACGTTGTGTGTGTGTATGGATGTGTGCATGTGTATATGTGTGTGTGTATGGACGTGTATATGGGTATGCATGTGTGTGTGTATGTGTGTGTGTGTATGGATATGTGTATGTGTGTATGTGTATGTGTGTGTATGCACGTGTGTGTATGCACGTTTGTGTGTGTGTGTATATGGGTGTGTGTATGTGGGTGTGTGTACCATGTTGTATTAGTAGAGGACAGAGGACAACTTTGAGGAGTTGGTTTTTTCCTTCCACTTTGTTGGTCCCAGGAATGAACTCGGGTCATCAGGCTGAGTCAAGCTAGAATCTTTTTTTTTTTTGAGAAAGGGTCTTACATGCTAGTTTCTGTTGGCCTAAAACTCATGGCAATCCTCCTGTCTCAGACCTCTAAGTGTTGAAATCATAGGCATGAGCCATCATATCTGGCTTTTCTTTAAAATGTCAGTCTTCTGTATCCCAGACTGACCAACAACCCTGACTGTGTATTGGAGGATGACCCAGACCTTGTGATCTTCCTGGGCTGGCACTTCAGGGGTACAGCATCCCACTCAGTTACACAGTACAGGGGTTCAAACCCAGTGCCTGTTGTCTGTGCTGTGCAAGCCCTTTACCAACTGAGCTACGCCTGCAACCTGGCTTTGTCATGTTGAGACAGGGTCTTGCTCTGTAGCCCAGAGTAACTTCAAATTCTTTTTGAAGAATTTTTGGCAGACATTTTGCCTCAGCCTCTAGTGCTAGGATTACAGGTATCTGCCAACACTCAGGTTGCTTCGTTTTTTTCTCCCCACTGATTATTTATCCACTTTACATCCCTATCACAGCATCCACTCTTCACCCAGCCCCCTCCTCACATGGCCTCTCCTCTCAGCTCCCTGCCCCTTCACCTCTGAGAAGGGGGAAGTCTCTCCTGGGGAACCAACCCACCCTGGCACCTCATGTGTCTGCAGGACTAGTTACATCCTTTCCCACTGAGGCCAAACAAGGCAGCCTAGTAGTGGAGGGGATCCACAGACAGGCAATGGATTCAGAGTAAGTTTTGGGGGGACCTGCTTGAAACCCAAGCTGCACGTCTGCTACATATGTGCAGGGTCTCTAGGTCCAGCCGTCGATTACTCTTTGGTTGGTTGTTCAGTCTCTGGGATCCCCCATGGGTCCAGGTTAGTTGACTCTGTTGGTCTTCGAGTGGAGTCTGTAAGGCCTCCAAGTTCTTCAGTCCTTCCCCAACTCTTCCACAAGACTTCCCAAGCTCCATCTAATGCTTTGCTCGTGTCTGCATCTGTTTCCATCTGCTGCTGGGTGGAGCCTCTCAGAAGACAGTTATTGCAGTCTCTTGTGTGTGAATTTAGGCTGACAGATACAAACATAGCCTGGGGCTCTAAAGTAGTAGAAGGAGAAAGGTAACCCAGCCATGTGTCTGTAGCTTGGGCCAGCCTAGATAGCACTCACTATGTAGACTAGGCTGGACTGCCTCTCTCTCTCTCTGAGTTGCTGGGATTAAAGATGTCCACTTAGTTTCTTGAGCTAGAGTTTCTCACTGGCCTGGAACTCATGGACTAGGCTAGATTGGCTGGTTTATATTAAATGGTAAGGATATAATCCTAAATGAGTTAAATAGAATGTTTAGAACATCCCACCTTCATTTCTTACTTGATGAAAGAAATTAGGTCTATAGTTTTGGATAAACCTCAAGTGTTTTTGAAAAACATTTATTAATGTGTGTGTATATATATTTATGTGTATGTTGGAGCATGTGTGCCACAATTCACTTGTGAGAGAATGGCCTCAGGGAGTTATTTCTCTTCTTCCACTGTGTGGCCCCCATACTTTCAAAGGCATAGGATTATCTCTCTTCCCTCACAATAGTGACATAGGCTCCTCCACGTGTTGCCTTGCCTGGATTTGCTGCTGTCCAGACCAGCACATCTGTCACCATTTGGGAAGTTTCTTAATTTTCCTCCTGCATTGGATCCCTGCTTTTTTTGGGGGGTGAGTGGGCTCTTTGGGGACAGAGTCTACATCACCAAGGCTGGTCTTGAGCTATCTTTGTAGCCAACCTGACCTTAAACTCCCTGTCTGTTCTCACATGCCTGCCGGCAATTCAGGCAGGCACTACCACAGCTGGTTTTGTTTGCTTTTTGAGGCAGTGGCCCTATCCCATGCTGGCCTGGATCTAGCTAGCAGCAATGTTCCCACGACCAGGACAACAAGCCTGAGCCAGCATTCTCTGTCTTTAGAGCTCTTCTTTAGTGGGCGTGATGTCTTTTTGTTGATGCTCTTGTTTCTGTTCTGATTTTGATAGAATCTATGTTTTTCCATAGGTTCCTGAGAAAGGGCACACAGATACTAAACTTTTAGCAATTTTGCCTCACCAGCAGTATCTGAATTCTTCTGTGCCTATCGACTGTCTGGGTGGGCATGGGCAAGATGGAATCTCTTTAAACATGATTTTATTTATTTTTATACTATACATGATTTATTTATTTCTATGTGCATGGGTGTTTTGTCTATATATATCTGTGCACCATGTATGTACTGAGCACCATGCATGTGCTCAAGAAGGTTAGAAGATGTGCTCGTATCCCTTGGAACTGGGATTGTAGATGGTTGCAGGCTGCCATGTGAGTGCTGGGAATCCAACCTGGACCCTCTAGAAGCTCAGCTGGTACCACTGAACCATCCGTCTCTTTTAGCCTAAAATCACATATTTTTAAATTTCCTATTTGAAAATGGAAACTACATGCCATTGAGCCAAAACAAAACAACAGCAACAACAGCCAATCACAGGGGCTGTGAATGACAGGGAATCATGCCAGTGTCACAGGGGAGTTCATTTATGTAGTTTTGACCATGTATGTGTTGTATGCATACATGTGAGGCTAGAGGACATGGCCTGCTTTACCATTCTCCGCTTTGTTTCCTTGGGACAAGATCTCTTATTGAAACAAGAGCTGGGTAGTTAGCCAGTAAGTACCAGTAGTTCCTCTGTCTCCCAGTGTTGGGGTTATAGGCATGTATCATGCCAGGCTTTTTTCTTTTTTAAAGTATGGGTTGTGGGAATTTGAATTTAGAGCCTTCTGCTTGTACAGCCCTTCCTTGGTGAACCGTCATCTCTCTGGTCCTGCAGGGCAGGTTTCTGAAGGGAAGATGCAACTATTCTACGTTTCGGCTTTTGTTTGATTTTCTTGTTTTGAGATCCAGTGTTACCACCTAGCCCAGGCCTTCCCTTAGTTCTCAGTCCCCCTGCCTCTGCTTCTGACTATTGCAGACATAAGCTACCACTCCTGGATCCTTACCATATAATTTTAATGGTGGTATACCAGTTTCTCTGTGTGTGAACATCTATAAAAAGTTTTCAAACAAAAGATAGTTTGATTTTATCTGTAAAATAGTTTAAAAATGAATAGTAAGTTAAAGGGATTTGAGTACCTGAAGGCATACAGGAAGAGTTGCTCCTCTTTCTCTCTTGTAATTGTTCCAAATTCCCTTTTCCCCAAATCCATTCTTAGTAAGCAGTTCCTTGTGTGTGTCTCCTACTGACCTAAGGCTAAACTTCCAAGGGTGTAACTGGGGCTGTGGGCAGCAAATGTGCTCCAGTATTTTCCAAGTGTTTAGCCGTTATAATACACCAAAGTATATTATCAATCAGCACTGATATTCACACATTACAATTATTCCTTCTGCAGTGGGCAAGCACGAACTGACTGGACATAAAGTCGCTGTGAAGATACTCAACCGGCAGAAGATTCGAAGCCTTGACGTGGTCGGAAAAATCCGCCGAGAGATTCAGAACCTGAAGCTTTTCAGGCACCCTCATATAATCAAACTGTAAGCCCAGCTCATTAACCTGGTCCCGTCATCCGCTCATCCCCGAAGTTCACCTGCCTGACCTGGCAAACCAGACAGAGAGGCCTGGCCTTCTTCCTCTTTCTGAGGCTTGAGGTTTCTTCCTGCTCCTGTATCTGACCCCGGTTCGCTGCCAGTTACAGAACCTGCCCTTGTGTTTTAACATGGCTCCTATCTCCCTTCTTCCTGTTCTTCCTGTTGTATGCAAAGAGACTCTTCTGACAGTACTCTGTGCTACTGGTTTCAATGGATAGTGCCAACTGTTGGGTTTCTAGTAAAAGTTTCGGTAGCAGGTGCCAGGCCCTGTTTGGTCTCCAGTACCACCCGAAAGGAAAGAGAAAAAAAAAAAGAGGGGGGAGAAATTCTTGAGTTGCAAATTTCAGGGTTTTTTTTTTTTTTTCACATGCTGGGAATTAGGCTCAGGAGAAGCTGTGCACTAGAAATGTTTTTTCCCTACCCTGCTTGTATTACCATACTCATACCAGACTTTGAGGAATCCAGTATTTCAGAAGGACAGTGATCCTAACGGTTGTTTTGAGGATGCCCCAGTGAGGTCTCCAGGTAACTTGTTTCTTCCCCTCTGTGTTACAATGTAGGCTATAATTTAAAGCTGCTGGGACTTCTCTACTGAACTGGCTGGCTCAAACATGGTTTTGCTTTTATCTCTCATTTATTAAAGGGTTTTGATATATATCATATCTACTGGTGGCCCCCAACTATCCAGTCCTTGCTTTAAGACCCATTCTCTGAGTTCCAGGCGCTGTGCCTGCTCCTTCCTTCCTCATTGGGATGTCCATGAGGTCTTTCAAAGAACCTGGCCAGGTCTCATCTCCCCATCGTCTCCTCAGCTCTGCTTCCTGCGCTGTTCTCACATTGTCACAGTTAATTGTCACTTAACCCCGAGGGGGTGGGATGTAGGAGAATCATTAACAATCCTGTTTATCCCTCTTCCCGCCATCACCCCATCTCTTCCTCCAGAATGTATCTCTGACCCTTTTCTCGGTCCTTCATCACCATCACACTGGCCTGAACTGCCTCACCGCTCACGGGCTTCTCCTGAGCATGCATTCTGTTCTTCATATCGCCACTGCTTATTCTTTGACTACGCAGAGGACAACGAGACTGCTAGCATAGAAACATCCCATAGCTTTCCATATTCCTTTAAATAAAACTCGAAGGTTTCTTCCCGGCTTGTGGAGTTCTGCATCTTTGGCCTCCAATGACTGGCTTCACATCCTGTTTCTCTCCCGGCTTGTTTTGCTCTTACTTTACCATGAGTGTGCCACGCAGGCTCCCAGCTGGGCCCTGGCCCTGGCTGTTCCTTCCCTCTGCCCATTCCACCTTCCTCCTGGCAAAGGTAGTCCACTCCTTCCTTCCTTCGGGCTCTGCTCTGTGTACTCTATGGCCTTCCTGGAGAACTCTGTATAGAGGAAGAGGTTGCTTTCTTTGCTGTGTCGCATGTTCTGCCACTTACTTACTCACTGTCCGTCTCCTGGCACCTGGATCAAGAACATAACAAAAACAGGAGATTGGCTTTGCTCCCCACAGACTTCTAGCAGCTAGCACAGTACCTGGTATCTTATAGGTGCTTAGTAAATCTTTACTGAATGGATGAATACACATGTTTTAATATTAGTAGATAATGTTTTCTCTCACCAGGTACCAGGTCATCAGTACACCATCTGATATTTTCATGGTGATGGAATATGTCTCAGGAGGAGAGCTATTTGATTATATCTGTAAAAATGGAAGGGTAAGCAGTTCTCGTTTAATCCTGTACATATTTTGGTAACTCCTCTGTGCCCCTTATTGCATTACAGTGTCCCCAAGCAGTTTTCAGAGGTCTGTTTAGCAAACAGTTCCCTTAGCATGAATTTGTGTAGAATCGTAGGCTATTTAGAGGGAAAGGACTTCAGAGATGATCCCCGAGCCCACTTAATTGACATGGATATCAAGCCTACTTGTTAAGTATTTGCTCAAGGTCACGTGATTTATTAGTGCTATACAGAGTTCAGTTAAGTCCCTAAAATTCCTAATCCTCAGATTTATGTTTTTGGCAATATAAACTTTTTTTTTGTTTGTTTGTTTTTTTTTGGACAGGGTCATACTATGTCACTGTGGCTGCCATGTAGATCAGGCTGGCCTCCAATGCATAGAGGTATCCCTGTCTCTGCCTCCCAAGTGCTGGAATTAAAGGTGTGCCTGGCTTGTGCACACTCTTAATATGCTTCCTAAACTTTCCTAATATGCGTTCCTGAGTGTTCCTCACGAAGTATATTATTAGGTCCTTAAACGGTGTCGGCCTTGTTCAACCCTGGCCACATTTCAGCTGCGTTCCTGCTTTGGCTTCTGAGCCCTGATGTACCTGAGTCATAGGCAATAGGGATTTTGAAGGAGCTAGGAATTAGACTTACAGAGTTTAGTGTTTGAAGGAGCCTTGGAGACATTTAAGTCATATACAAATACGGAGCACTGTCCCCTGCCCATACTTACTGTCAATGTATCTGATTGCCACAAGGCCCTGCTAAAAGACCCACACCTGGCAGAGAAAAGCGCTTTCTCCTCCAGTTGAAAGTTATTTGAATTATTCATTCTTTCATATTATGTAGCGTATCTCTTTAATCAGAATCAAACTCATTAAGCATGTTAATCTTTATTTCTAAACCTGGTTAATTTCTATCTAAAGTTTTCCCTTTCTCTTCCTTCAAGGCCCCATTCCTATCCACTGGAGGAATTCTTCCTCAACTAATTAATGCCTGCTTTTCTTATCTTTTTTCTCTCCCGTTTGTCTTTTTTAGTCATTTTGCTATACATTGTGGGGATGTCTTTTAGCATTACCTTTGGAATGCTGAACTTTCAGCTATCACGTGTTTATATTTCAGATCTCTGCCTTATTTTCTGAAGTTCCCTTTGGATAGCTGCCTGTTTGGCTTCCCAGACGTAGCCTTACCTGCTTGAGAATGCCATTTCGGTTTTAAATGTCTTTTGGTCCCTGCCCTGCTCCGTTTTCCGTGCTTTCTGCTCATTTTATTTGTCTCTATACTTTTTCCCCCCATGACTCTTACTCAGATATCTGGTGATTATTAGCTGTCCACTTAAATTTCAGAGCAAAGTTTCAAATGCCAAGCCATTTATGGGTACTATTTATGGTTTTCCTATAGGTAGGAGACATTAATTTTGGTAGGGTAAATTCTTTGCTAACAAGCATAAGTATTTTTCTTCTTTTGATTTGGTGTCTGCTTTTTCCTATTTTTTTGACGGTATTGGTTTAGCTGTTGGAACTGAGTTGGGAGGTGGGGTCAGGTGTCTTCTGTTAGTATGCACACAGTCTGCATCTTCCTGACAGTGCCTTATTCCTGCCACAGAGCCCCTGAGAGTGACCTAGCCTTGCCTTGCCTCAGTAGCCAGAGGTCTTTCTCCCCATTGGTGGGAAAGCTAAAGCTTCCGCAGAGGCCTGCTGTCTTGTTTCCAGCCCGCCCCTCACTCTGCCTCAGAAAGTCGCTGTGCGCCCATGTCTTAGCTTTCCCAGGGTTCCATGTGCAGATGGATTCTTCTCTAGGATTTGGTTTTGCTTTTCTCTTTCTGCCGAGTTTTCACCTGCTGTCCACACACTCCTCTTGATGGCGGCTGTCTGTCCATCTTTTGGTTTTGTGGTTCCTGTGTGTTGCTGACAGCACCCTAGTGTTGTTTCAGGGAGTGACACAAAGGACTCAGTGTTCAGTGTTTATCAGCTGGGAGTACACCTTGACCTGGCTCATCTTCCTTTACTCTCTGCCATTCTTTGTACTATATTTTTATAAACAAAATTTTTTTTCACCTTTGCAGCCTCTCTCTATGTTACTTCTTATCATGTGTTAAATTTTCTCTTCCTCTTTGTATAATTTTTTTTTTTAAATAAACATCTACTGGAACAAAGGCATGAGATTGCAAAAGTATTAATGTATGTTTCTTCAGGAAGGGTATCTTACACTTCAGTGTAAGGGTATGCTACATTTCAGTAGTAGTTTTATTTTTATATTCAAAGCAATGACTGGTTTCTCTTTGTCCCTACATTATCCATGCGTTGAAGGTGTAGAATTCTGGATTTACAATGTTCACTCATGACCTACCGGAGGATCTCATGTGAGCGTTCTTGCCTAGGGGACCAGTAGCTTCCTTAGTAAATACTCTGTCCTGGAGCATGGGTAAGGCAGTGCTGCTTATCCCTTGTTGAGCAAACACTAGAAAATACAGAGATTTGAAGATTATTTTTAAAAGATTATACTTAAACATTTTAATTGTAGTATAAGCTTCCTCCCCCACCCCCCCAGGAAACATGCACAATGTAAATGTGCTAAGGATTTTCTTTAGCTTAAATGAAAATGTCTTGGGCCTGAAGAGATGGCTCAGCAGTTAAGAGAGTTCAACGTTCTTCCAGAGGGCTGGGGGTTGGTTCCTGTCACCCATGTCGGGTGACTCACAATTGTCTCTAACTCCAGGTCCAGAGGATCGGAGTCTTGCCTCTGTAGGTACCTTCATGCAGATGTACATACACACACACACACACACACACACACACACACGCACACAACTTTAAAAATAGCTTAAATTTCTGAGCACAGGCTATTGTTGTGTTGTGACTCAATTACAATACTTACCTGTCACTTCTTCATAGTCTGTAATTGTTCCCCATATAAGTGTCACTTTCTGTATTCTCTTTTTCTTTCCCTTTTCATTGATTAGATTTGCTCTTTGACAGTTTCATCCACGTATTCTGCACCCTCTGTTTACTCTCCCTCCCTGTCCCCTTTTTTCTTCCACTCCTGCCTTCCCCTCCTTCCTACAGATCTCTGTTTACCTGCATGACTTTGTTTTGTTCTGTGATCCACTGAGTTTGGCTCGAGCAGCGTCTGTTTTTGGGTTTGGATCTGTCCACTGGAAAACTTTCTGTATTACTCTGTGACCTTTTTCTCCCCAGTGTTATGCTGACGGATTTTTTTTTGGGGGGGGGTGTCCTTATTTTTGTCTACTAGAGTAGGGCCTTCCTTTCATTCATTTTTGTATTATGAATCTCTAGCCTGTATAACATATTGAATGTGCTCAATAAATATTTATTGAACGAGGGAAGGATTAAACATTACTAATTGGAAAACATTCCCAGTTTCAGGTAGAAGTTGGAAGTACTAGAAATAGCCATGAGCTACAGAAGAAGATGTGTTTTTTAAGTGTAGTTTATGTAGATAGGGTCAGAAAGTCGAGTTGCTGATTTGGTCCCTATATATTTCAGTGTATGGTTACATGCCTTACTTGTCCATTTCACAGTACCTCATAGGAGAAGTTCACCTGGAAGGTTTTATGCTTTGACAGTTTATAGGCTGGAGAATTATAAGTAAGAATGTTTCCATTGAGAGGCACAGCTTAAAATGCGTTTCTGCTTTTCCTAGTTGGACGAAAAGGAAAGTCGACGTCTGTTCCAGCAGATCCTTTCTGGTGTGGATTATTGTCACAGGCATATGGTGGTCCACAGAGATTTGAAACCTGAAAACGTCCTGCTTGATGCACACATGAATGCAAAGATAGCCGACTTTGGTAAGGATGGTTTCAACTATTTAATAAGTAATGGTCTTCTGATAGTGTTTATGGGATATGCTAGAATCCCACTCTGCAAGTGAACGTTCAAAAGGAAAAACTGTAAGGTATGCACTTAATCTTATGTCTTCAAAGTTGATCATAAAGAAATTCAATTATTTAGTGCACACACACACACACACACACACATGTCAGAGGACAGCAGCTTCTGGGGGATGTTTCTGTTTTTCCACCACTTGGGTCTTAAGGTTGAATTCAGGTTGTCAGGCTTGCTGGTAAGCACTTTTACCTGCTGAGCCTACCTGCCAGCCCTGAAATTCAGTTTTGTGACTGTAAATATTTCAACCTGTTAACATTAGAGAGATCATTGGAAAAGAAGTGACTAATATTTGTCAAGAAGATAGCAACTTAATTTCTAATATGTTCTTTTTGGTCAAGTATGGGGAAAATGGAAAGAGAGATGGAATTATTGAAAAAAATTGAAATCTGGAAAGATGAATTATATGAGGAAACTTAACTTTTAAAAAATTTAATATTTAAATGCTATAAAGTTGGTTTTCAGATGTAGTGACATATGCCTTCAATCTAAGAGTTCCAGAGATAGAGGCTGGTAAAAAATTATTCTGATCATCTGAGTCTATTTTGCCTAGCAATATCTCTATTAAGATGTAAACATTTCAAGGATATTCTACTATCCAAAACCACCACTAGTTTAGTATATACACATTAAGCTCTAGATATTGAAATACATTGTACATTTTTGTATAAGGTCAGCATATTTGGGAAGTGAAGATTATGATCATGTTAAAGGTTTTTTGTCTGTTTTGCTTTTTGTTTTTCAGAAAAAACTAAATGGTAGCTTAGCTGTGTTGTTTAATGAACTTTTGCTTGCTTTTTGTTCTTGGGAAATCTTGAGTGGCCTATTTTTGTTGTTTCAGGTCTTTCAAACATGATGTCAGATGGTGAATTTTTAAGAACAAGCTGTGGCTCCCCTAATTATGCTGCACCAGAAGTCATTTCAGGAAGGTAGTGTTTGACATTATGCTATTTTTGATGTATTTGTAGTTGCTTATTTCTCTTAGGTGTGTCGGCCTATACTGTCATCTTGAGCTCTAATGAAGATGTAAAAGTAACATATTTGCCTGCAATACTGTCATCCCAAAGGCTTACTGCCTCAGTCTGCAAACCTAGGCCTAGTCCTGGAAGCATCTAGCCTCTGTACAGTCTAATCTAGGCCTAGAAAGATTTCAGCTTCTGAGACTTACTGCTGACTAAGCTCACCCCTTCCTTGTTCTTTCTGATCTATGGCTGGTCCAACTAAGCTGTTCTGGCTCAAACTCCTCTCCACGGTAACTGATTCGTTCTGGCTTCCCTGGGCTTCTCCTGAATTGCTCTGCTTGGCCTCAAACTATCTCTGTCAATCTGTTCTAATCTTCTGGCTCCTTCTCCGTCTCTGGCTTGTTCTGTCTTCATCTGTGTGTGGCTTGCTCTTCCTCTGCAACCTGTCTCTGTACAGCTCTCCTGGTAAAACAGCCTCCTCCCTCTGTACTGCCCTTAAGTATTTCCTCTCTCTTCTCGCGAGAGTTGGGCATATCCTATTTTGTCAGATCTTTTTCTGATTTGTCACTTTGTCTGCTACTCAATTAGAAGTTACTTTCAAACATGGGTGCTTTCTTCTATTAACTAACTTTGCCTTCATTGCTTGGGAGTAGAGGTGTGCACTAAAGGCGTGTCTGTATTCTAGCCACAGGAATTAAAGGTGTGTGCTAAGGCTGAGCCACAACACAACCAGAAGCAGGTTTTTTCAGTAACTAACACAATCTCGGATTCACAATGTGATAAAATATCCTGCAAGAGAAGGAATATATTTTCGTACTTACAGATTTTCTATTTTAAAAATAATACACAAGGAGCTGGAGAGACGGCTTAATGGTCAAGAGTACTTGTTGCTCTTTTAGAGGACTCCAGTTTGGGACCCAGCAACGACAATCTGGGTGGCTCACAGTTGTCTATAACTTTACCTCCAGGAGACCCAACACACTCTTGGTTTCTGCAAGCAGTCGCATACATGGATGCATACATACCCCAACACACACACACTTACACACACAAATAATAATAGTAATAAAAATAAATTTAAAAAGTGGATAAACTAACAAATCCATATATAGAGGAGAATGTTGGTTTGCAAGTCATGTTAAAATAGTTAGAATGAAGTACTATATTTTTTTCCCTCTGGTGGGAGAATTTAAAGCTAATCAGTTGTAAAGGTAGATAGGTAAGTCACTGAAAACTTGACTATTGAAATACTTACTCATGAGAAACGGTTTACTTTGGCAAAAAAATTAAAAATGTAACCTGATGGGCAACCCTTGCTGGTAATTCTAGACCTCGAGAGGCTGAGGTCACTGTGTGCTACCTATCAAGACACCATCGCAAAAAACCGAACCAAACCACACAGAAAGCAGAACAGAGTTACAAGCGTAACGTCATGTGTAGTGTACGAAGTATTCAAATAGATGCCATTCATGTGGTAGCTTCATGTCTTATGTGGAAGGAAAGTGTCTTAGAAACTGAATTAAAGAAGTGGTCCTCTAAAAAACAGACGGGCTAAATGTCGTGTATGCTTATAGCCCGAGCATCACACAGGGATGCCGAGGCAGAGCTGTATTGGTAGACACCCCCCACCCCCGCACAGGGATGCCGAGGCAGGGCTGTATCGGTAGACCCCGCAGCAAGAGCAAGAGGGCAAGAGGGTGATAAAAAGGGAGAAGGAAAGAGAGAGACTCATTTATGTTCTGAACTACTAACTAGCATTGAAAATACAATTTTTTTTTTGTAAAGATTTGCTTTATTTCTATTGAGGGGAAGGAATAGGATAGATATAACTGATATAACTGTTATCCAATCTGCTGTCTACTGTGTACACACATACCCACACACATACATATACATACACACTAAAAGTTCCCCCCCACCAAAAAAACAAAAACCACCCTCAAACTGTACCAATACTTCATATTTTGACCAAAAGAATAGATCCTGGGAAGAAGTGCAAAATGCAAAATCAAATGACCGAGAAATGCTGAGCAAACAGCATCATTAATATACAAAATATTTATATTACTGAACTAATAACAGGTGATGTTCTCCATGTCTGTAAAACTTTGGAACAACAGAGCTGATTGTTAAATCTAGTCCATGCCAGCTTCCAAAACCCAGAGGATTTTAGTTAGCTTCATTTTTCGATGCTTCATCAAAATTTTCTACAAGATCTGGAACATCATCATCCTCTTCATCAATGTCTTCTGGTTTGGGTGCTTTACTATCCAATACTTGTCGTGGGAACTGCTCAGCTAACTTTCTAAGGCTCGTCAAGCTGTCTGCACCAAGCTGACTTAATATTCCAGGAAGCGTTTCTATGATTGGTTTGGCTTCTGCATGACCAGTAATTGCAAAGGTGTTAGCGGAGAGGGAAGCTTGGACTTTGGGATTATTGAAATGAATAACTGTTCCATCGTCTTTAATCATGTTCACCTCTTCAATACCAGCTATATTGTTCACAGCCAGTTTCTTTAGTGAACTTTTAAGCTTTTTGTCATCAGCAGTAACTGTCCTATGTACCACCTTCTTCTTCCTGCGAGCTGTCCCCTTGCCCCCTATCCGGACCTGAGCTTGAAGTTTGGCTAACTTTTCTTGATTCATGCTGTTGGTAAATCTGCAGCGGGCAGGGTCATCCAACACTAGCATGCAGCAAGAGCCACAGATGTATTTTTGTCAGTTAGCTTTTTAAATAGTGTGAAACCAAACTTTAATTTTGTTCTATTTCCTTTTTTGTTCAAGGCTCAAGTGTGTTCTTTTTTCCTTTGTGTGTGTGTGTGTGTGTGTCTGTATATATGTGTGTGTGTGATAGAAATAGACACAGTTTATTAACAAAGAGAAAGACACATCCAACCTTGGAAGTTGGGTAGTGGTCTAGGAAAAGCTATTTGCTCAGAAGTGGTAAAATTTAATTTAAAACACAGACTTTATTTTAAATCATATGTATATGTGTGTTTGTGTGAGGGTATGTGTACATCAGTGTAGGTGCTGACAGAGGTCAGAGCCCCCCATCCCCACCCCTCAGAGCCATGCCACAGGCAGTTTATCAGCTGTCCGGTGTGGGTGGTGAGCACTGAACCAGGGACCTCTGTAAGAACGGCTCAGGATCTCAATGGCTGAGACATCCCTCCAGCCCAAAGAATTTATTTTTTAGATCAACGCTTTGGCCAGGCTTGTTAGTGCACCGCTGTAATCTCTTTACCCAGGAGGTTGGTTAGACAGCAGACTGATGGGAGTTTGTTTCCAGCTCAGGCTGCATTGTGAGACAGGGCCAGCTTGGCTATAAAGTAAAATCCTGTTGCAAAAACAAACAAGCAAAGAAAAAAAAAAAAGCAAAAAGCAAACAAAAGGACAATGCTTCCTCATGACGGCTGGATCACCAATGAGGAGGTCGGAGAGGACTGTTGCACACCAGTGTCCACAATCATGGTTTAATAACTGTCTGCCCGAGCCATTTCCTTGTTTAAATGTTTCAAATGGTGGTGGACCTAAGGCAAAAAAAAAAAAAAAAAAAAATCCCAGTGTTTTCCATTTCCACGAGCTTATTATTATTATTATTATTATTATTTTTTTTTTTTTTTAGACTGCTCAAGAAAAGTTAATTAGGTGATTTTTTAAAAAAGTGTGTTTTTTATCATAGTTCCTTTGGTATGAAAAAGGTTCACCTAGATGCTATGGGGAATATAATTTTCTAATAAGGAAAAAAGATACGCATCATGATCAAGCATGCAGAAAATAGGCTCTGAGGGAAATGTAATTCGTTCAGTTTGGGTAGTCTTTCCTGGAGGTCTGTGTGAATAGGAGTAATCATGGTGAAAACAGTGTTTTACCGCTGACTGTAAGAAGCACTTTCGTCACTTTAAGGGTTCATTTTCTTCCTGAAGCCAGACCCTGGATGATTCAGCTTGTTTGCAGCCAGTTAAGATGCTTATCTAGAGTATTCTGTGAACGCCGCTTCCCTTGACTTGCTTCTGCAGCTCAAGCTTCCTGACCTTTATGTGAGGGTTTTAGGAGAAATGAGGTCAGAGTGTATCACTATAGACTTGAATCTTGGGCCCAGCGAGTTGGCTCAGCTGGTAAAACATTTGTCGCCAAGTGTGATGACCAGAGACTAACTCCTGAAACCTGGGTAAAGGAAAGAGAGAACTGACTCCACAAAGCTGTCATCTCAGCTCCACACCCACTGTGGCACATGCACACCATACACTGCACACACACACACACACATACACACACACACACACACACACACACACACACACGAACGCACACACACAAACGCACACACACTAAAATTTAGTTTAAAAAATTTCCGTGGCTCAAATTAAACATTGAGCATTCAACATTCAACATGGTTCAAGGCTTGACCTTATTGGTAGGAGCTTTGAGGGTCATCGTAAGGTAGTACAAACAACAATTTGACCCATGAATCACAAGATATAAAATTGTTTAATTTTTAAACAGTAATACTGATAAGACTAGAATCCCTATGTGCAATGTGCAGCAGTTGCTATAGATAGCATATTCTGACTCCTGATTTCTTTAAAACTTATCCTTCTTGTATTCTTCATAAAGTATTTGTACTTGAAGACTGTTGGCTGATGCCTTCTGACACTGTGATTAATACGGTCAGCATTCTCTCTGCAGATTGTACGCAGGCCCTGAGGTGGACATCTGGAGCAGTGGGGTCATTCTCTATGCTTTGCTGTGTGGAACCCTCCCATTTGATGATGACCATGTGCCAACTCTTTTTAAGAAGATATGTGATGGGATCTTTTATACCCCTCAGTATTTAAATCCCTCAGTAATCAGCCTTTTGAAGCATATGCTGCAGGTAGATCCCATGAAGAGGGCCACAATAAAAGATATCAGGTAACTCACTTTATTTGCCTGCCTAATTACCTACCTACCCACTGTCTGTCCGTCCATCCATATCTATCTATCTATCTATCTATCTATCTATCTATCTATCTATCTAT